CCCAAGGAAGAGGGAGAGAGAGAGAGAGAACCCGATTCGCAAGCAAAGGAGGACCTGGCAGAGTTGGTTCCTCTGCTGCCTGAGATGGCCTTGGATCCCGTCCCGGCTTTCCTTGCTTGTTTGGGGTTCAGGGTTCAGAGGGTGTATCATATAGGGGCCTTAATAATTAGAATAAGGTTTTGGGGCCCATTATAATTACTATAATTACAATAAGGGTTAGGGGTTCAGGGCCAGTTTTTGTCAGGATTTATATGTCGTTTAGGGCTTGCTTGGCTTGTTTCTGGCGGGGATGTCGGGCCTGTGTGGGGGCTTTCAGAGTGTTTAGGGCTTTTGGGGTGTACGTCGGGCTTGGGGACAGTATGTAGAGTTTTTGGAGCCCAGTGTCCCGCTTTATGATTGCAGTGGTGGTGTCCAGTGTTAACCCTAAACCCTAAGCCCAAACCCAGTCTGCAGACTCGGTTTGGAGTGGCCAGGCTGCCAAGCTGGCATCCGAGGCGCCGGACGAGGCTTCTTGGGGGCCTCGAGGGCTGTTTTGGGTTAGGGGTTTTGGGTTTAGGGTTTCGGGTCTGGGGTTTCGGGTCTAGGGTTTGGGATTAAGTTTCGGGTTTAGGGTTTAGGGTCGCAGACCTGCTCGGAGCCGATCTCCCAGGACCACCCCGATGCTACGGACTATACCTGTGTAGATCGAACTCAGCTACTCCAGGGGATTGTAGATCAATGTAAGCCCTGGGCAAGGATCCTAATGTGAATCAGGGTTTAGGATTCAGGGTTTAGGGTTTAGGAAGGCCCTTCCAGAAAGTGGGATGCATCAAGCAGTGGTCTACATTGCCCTTTCCGGCCTGGTCTACATTGCCCTTTCCGGCTCGCCAACCCTCAACCCTGTTCTCCTTGAGTCCCCCGTTTCCTGGAATGCCAAGGTTTACCAGGCACACAAACTACCCGACCCAAATTCATTCAACAAATCTAGAACGCTAAACCCTACGAATCCCGATTAAACCCTACTAAACCCTAGACCTTAAACAAGCCTTAAACCCTATTTAGCCTGGTCGAGGTTAGTGAGCCTGCGCCCAGCGTCGAGACGGTGCAGCAGGTGAGGGCTTGGAGCGTTTGTGGGTAAAAGCATGGTTTAGGGTTTAGGGTTTAATGGCATTTCATGGTATGGCTTTAGGGTTTCAAGGTTTCATGGTTCAAGCCAACGCTTTCTGGGAAAAAGTTCTGGTAGGTTTGGGTTTCATGGTACGGCTTTTGTGAAATCATGGTTTGGGAAAGTGCTCATGCCTTGGGGTTTCATGGCACTTCATGGTATCCTTCACCCGGTTTAAGACCCATACCGCCTGGAGGGTCTGGGTTCCGGGGTGAGAGGCCCTGCTCCAGATTGAGTACGTGAAACACGCTCCATGAGTGATTCTGGGGCTGAAAAGAGTTGCCGGTACTATTTTTAGGGGTTCCTGTCTAAGGTTATAGTATAAAGGATGTTCGGGGGTTCCTGTTTAAGGTTAGAGTATAAGAGATACCCAGAACCAGAACCCTATAATCAAGGCTAAGCATTCCAAATTTCATTCTGCATTTCCGGCTAAAGGCTTGAGGAGAGCGCAGCGACTGAACCAGGCGCTCGTAGTAGTGACCGCAACATAGGGGCCTAAGTAATTGCCCATATTGTTAAGGCCCCTTTCTTACGTAGGGGTTTCGGATTTAGGGGTTTATGCCTCTTGATCTAAGGTTTTAGAGGATTGGGTCTATGAGCACTAGCAACATAGAGCTAGCTCCCCAATGGACGTTTGGGGTGAGGTCATGAATGCTACGTCCCGCCGGTCCGTTGCTGCGGAAGGCTGTGGTGAGAGACTTCGAAGAGCAGGAAGAGGTTCTGCAGAATGCAGCCCAGCAGAAGGCACGACGGCAGGGTCTAGAGAGCTTCTGAAGTTGGCAGGTTTTCAAGTAAGATCATCTCTCCGTAAGAGGTACTGTATGGTTCTATAAGGGTTTTCTAGAAGATTTATGCGGGCTACAAGACTAGAAGAGTTACCATAAGGCTAAATATAGGGGCCCTAGCAAGTTCAAGAGGGTTTTGAGTAATCTTCACGGCTCCTTGTTTTACCTGAGGTCCTCCTGTTTTGTTGCAATCAGGGGCCATTCGAGCTGACTATGCTGGCAGCTTCGACTATGCCGGCGAGTACCGGCTGGGGTCGTCCACCGGCGATGAGGCTTTGGTTTCGGGGTCAGAGGTTTTAGGGTGTAGGGTCAGGGTTTGGGGCCTCAGCGGTTTGGGGTTTCGTTCCGGGTGCAAGCCTCTCTGAAGCACGCTGTCGGGTAGCACACTAGCGCCAAGGGTCTAAGTAGTCCTTATCCATGGGTTTTGCCACCCAAAAGGGCCCCAAAGTCCTAGAAAAGGAGTACTTAGGGACGCTTCGGTAGGACAGCGACAGCCTGCAGAATCTCACGACCTGCTCTTCCAAGATCCTGTTTCAGGTTTAGGGTTTGCTTTGTTTTTCGGTTTTCCCTTTTATGTAGGTCGGTACAGCGTTCCGATAGAAGAGCGCCATGATTTTTGCCTCATAGTGTATCCTAAAGCCCGGTTCCGAGTTTGCCTATCTTCTTGAACTGACATTTGAGGCCTGGGTCTTCGAGTCGGAATATCTCAGGTTTCGGTCACCATCAGGGCGGCAACGCTTCACATCCCAGGAAGAGCTCGATGGCCCCGCCCCCACCATGACATCCCATACCCCTAAATCAAAACCGTTTATAAGGTCCACAGAGTCACACAGTTCCTAAACTTCCAAAATGCCTATCCATAACCCCAAACACTAAACCCTAAACCCTAAATCCGAAATCCTAAACCCGAAATCGTAAACCCTAAACCCTAAACCTGAAATCAGCGCAGGCCACGACAGGCTGGCGTCCCCCTGAGCCTCGCACGGCGGGCACTTCGGAGGGTGCCGAAGAAATTCTTCCAAGAGGAGGCGGCCTCTCCAGCGCTACCAGGGATCCCTTTTAGCTCGCTTGTCTATGAAGATGTATAGGGTTGAGAGTTTTAGGGTTTATACGGGTTTTTAGGGTGTAGGGTTTCGGGTTTTAGGGTTTAGGGTGTAGGATTTAGGGTTTAGGGTTTCAGGGTTTAGGGTGTAGGGTTTAGGGTTCAGGCCGTCTTTAGGTTAGTGGGCACCCCCGCATTGCATGCATCAAATCTATTGGCAACCCGCACTTGGTGGTAGCCTTGCTCGGGGGAAATCTGGCGGCCCGGACAATTTGCAACCACATTTCTTGAGGCGCGCTTGTACTTATATATTCAGGCCTAGGCAATATATACTCTTAATTCTAAACCCGGTGCAATTATTCGATCCGTTCTAAAGCCTAAACTCGCACGGAAGCCTTACAATCCTAGAACCCTAAACCTCCAAGGCACTGTGAAGATCCTGAGCAGGAAACCCTAATCCTGCAAACATTCATAGTCTCATAGTATAACACCCCCAACTGGCCTCGTCGAAAGGCTAATACAGCTCCATCTCATACATGCCCAGCCGTTTGTGTCTGGGGCCTGAGGGTGTCCCAAAACCCGCTTGAGGTTTAGACCCTATACTACTCCTGAGCTCCTTAATGCGATAAAGCCCAGAATTCACCTCAAAAACCCGATTTGAATTACAAAGGCCTCCGCTACGCCCCGAATCCCTTCGCCGTTTTTGGCCGATGGACCGACCGCCCCAACCCCTGAACTTAACCCCGAAACGGACCCCAAATCCAGATTTGAAGCCCTCAACGCCTAAACCCCGAAACCCTCAACTGCCCTCAACCCCTAAACCCGAAACCCCTGAACCCTAAACAAGCCTTTATTCGTCGAAGCACCCGACGGAGCGTGAGGCTCGGCTACTTCTCTGGAGTGGCAATGGGCATTTTTTGCTGGCGCCTGGGTGGAATCAGGGGCCTGAAAACGTAGATGAAGGTAGATGGGGCAATCCCAAAGAGGGGTCCTGATATAAGGGATCCTTAATCCTCTACCTGCATCCCCCCTTTTGAGGCGTCCAGTGGGGTCTAGGTCTGGCATGCAGGGCACTGGGTTTGGGTTTTTAGGTTCAGTTTTTTCTTAGGGTTTAGGGTTCAGAGTTCAGGTTTAGGGCTTAAGGTTGAGGGTTGCGAATGTGGGACCGAAGGTTTCTGGGGGAGGGCACGGGCGGCTTGCATACTGCACTCAGACCTTAGACCCGAAATCACGCGCAGCCCTAAACCCTAAACTGTCTGGTTCTTCGTAGGGAATGGGGGAATGGGAATTGATTATGGAGACTAATATTGGGGATTATATAGGGACTACTATAGGGATCCATTCCCCCATTCCCTACTAACTAAGCACCAGGGAGTAAACTCTACCTGTAGTCTCCATAGTACATAATTCCTGTTTTGGTTAACTAATCGTATGCTTAAGATCCTCTAATATAAAATTGGTCAACCAAAAAAGGACTACAATGGGGACTATAGGTAAACCTCTCAACCACCACCCTAAGGGTCCGAGTACCTCATCATCATAGACTCTCCCGACTAGTATCCTACATAACTACTATCCGAAACCTAAGTCCCTGATTATTGGATCCTTTGAACCCTTTAGAGCACTATAATGGGATTAGGTCCCAAAAGCCACAATGGGGATGGTCTTTTGGGACCTAATTCCCTAGACCCTAAACCCTAAACCCAGAACCCTAAATCCCTAGATCCCTAAACCTGGTAGTTTGTATGGACCCTTTGGCCCAAGCCGAACCCCAACTAGGATGCCCAGTAGTACCCTTATTCCCTTTTTGTAGTCCTAGGTTCCGTTACCCAATACCAAAAAAAGAGGCCTTTTTATTCTTAGGTTACTGGGTATCCTAGAATAGGGGACCCCTAATATAGTACCCTAAATAGTAGGATCCTTATTATAAGGACCCCACAATAAGGTACCCCTAGTTCTTAGGTTACTGGGTATCCTAGCCAAAGCTTTGTGCGAGCCTTCGTAGGGCTCCTGAGCTCCCCAAAGATCTGCGAACTGCAGAAACAACGGGCCGACACGACCCTCCCAAGTGTCCTATACTAGGGGCCTAAATAAGTACCCTATACTATTTTGGGGGGCTCCTTATTATAATTGTGGTACCCTGTATTTTCTAACTATTAAGACCCCTTACTGTAGGGGCTTGAATAGTTTACACTACTTGCTTTTTTTTGGGCGAGAGGGGGGGGGGGCAAGTCCGAAACCCTGTTCTTGTAAGAACCTGGAACCCTGCAAGCCTCAAAACCCACTACAAATCCGAAAACTCTCAACTCCCCGAAGCCCAAACCCTAAAACCTTACGGGGCTGCACAAATAGCAATACCAGTCTCTCAACCCTACATTCCAATAAAAGTATCAGAGCCTCCAGATCAGGAGTACCGTTATGATAAACTCTACACCCAAGCCCTCCTATTCTAAGTATCAAGGCTCCCAGACTATAGATCTCTAGGGGTGTACCTGCAGTCGGAACAGGGCCCATAAAACCCATAAAACCCTAAACCCCAAAACCCTAAACCCCTAAACCCCTAAACCCTCAACCCTAAACCCTAAACCCTAAACCGTAAGAAAGATCCTGAGGATACCCTTCAAATAGCTATTATATACCCATTATATGGCCCATTGAAGGGTAGGGGTCCCTCCTTTTCCCCTTTGAAAGAAAGATCCCCAGGAGTGCTTGCGCTACCTCTTGGCCGCCGACTTCGGAACCGCCCCCGAGCTCTTCCGTACGGTCGTTGCCCGGGTCCGACGCCTTGCGATTCCAAAGTTCTGCATGGCTTTCGGGTCTAGTGCAGGGCCTAATTACTTACAAGTACTATCTTGGGGGTTCCTTATTATAATTAAAGTAGAACGGGCCCCGAAACCCTATTCTAATTATTAAGGCCCCTATTTTGGGGTTGGTGGGTTTAGGGTTTAGACTTAGGGCCTTAGGGTTTGTTTAGCGTTTAGAGTGTCGCGGTTTCGGTTTGAATCCGGGTCCAGGGTCTGGTAACCGATCTCCTGTTATAGGATCCTTAAGGGGGGGTGGTTCAAGGGGGGAGGGTACTAGGGAGCTTTGGGGAACCTTAGGGAAGCTTAGGGAGTATTGGGGAATAATGGGGATTACTAGGTTACCTACCCCCCTTGGACCACCCCCCCTTAAGGACATCCTAATCCTGCTTGGGAAGCGCCGGTGGCGACCCAGGCCCCAACAGCTTTTCCAATGCAAGCAGGCAAGGTGAAGCCCTCAGTTAAAGCAGTCACTAGGATGATGTCCATGATGATGATGGTGGTGATGATATGACATGACCCTACAGACCCATATTCATGAGCTCGGGGTGCGACCCTTGAGACCCGTGTCAGGCTGTGACCGCCGCAAGTGCCGGATTAGAGGCCTGAGCAGCTTTGATTTCGAGCTGCTTTGTACGGATCTTGGGGGCTTGCTGCTTGCTTGGAGTTGTAAGTGTGTCTGCTTCTCTGGACTCATGGTCTCTTTGTGTTTCTGTTTAGTTATAAGGGTTTCCAGCCATACACTCAAAAGGAGAGTAGATTGCTGTTGAGGATAATCGTCATGTCGTATGTTGTCGTAGTTTGTAGTCCTCCCATGGAGTCCTCCCAAAATTCAACATGTAGTTCTTCGGCGAGACCTGAAAGCAACCAACTCCGGGCTTATTGTTTCGGTTCTGGGGTAGATATAGCATGGTTTAATCTGGTTCGTTGCATCCGTCTTTACGATCCACAGTTTCAGTTTGGATAGCAACAAGATACCTGTTACCTAGAGCCAAAACCCTAGAACCCAATTCCCACACCTTTTCTTTTCTTCAAACTCACCAAACGCGAAGCTCTATAGCCCTAAAGACCCGGACCTTAAAGCCCCAAAGCCCCCGGTGGGCCGCTGCCCATAAGGGCCCATGTGCCCGTTTAGAGTTGGATTTGAGGTTTAGGGTTTAAGTACATAACTTAGTGGTAAATAGAAATCTATTTTAATTTTTGGTTATTATAATCCCTAAGAAACAGCTAAAATTGTAATTTTGCTAGTGTTCTAAGTTCAGTATAGATAAGAGGGAAGGCATTAGAGCCCAAATATATACTCCATGGGTACACGGACCCGTAGTTTAAGCCCCCCCCCCCAAAAAAAAAAAAGTTTCCTGATTTTTTCCTTGAAGGGGTCAAGGGGTACTGTTAAGGGTTCGAACATAGCGGCTTGACTAGTATGAACTTTAAGACCTTTTATCCATACTACGAGGGTTCGAACATAGGGGCTGGATTAGTATGAGCTTTAAAACCTTTAATCCATACTATGAAAGGTTCGAACATAGGGGCTTGACTAGTATGAGCCTTAAAACCTTTACTCCAAGACCTTAGGCCCTACACCCTCATGGCCTCAACCCTTCATCCTTCAAAGCGATCGAAGTGCTGATGTCATCTAGGAAACCCCATGAAGTTTCAACCTAAAGCCTAAACCTGAAAAACCCCGACCCCACAGGCCCTTCAACCTTCTCCACCCTATACGCCCTAAAGCAAGCAACACCCAGTCTCAGGATTTGGATGAGCTTCTCCGGAGAGCCTATGCGGCGCTTCCACTTGAGGCAGCTTCGCTCATGAAGGGCACAACGTATCGAGGTTTATTTGGGAGTTTCCGACAATCAGGGGTACATTGTTTTGGGCTCCTTCTAATAGGCATCCTACTATCTAGAGTACTATGTTAGGGTCCTATTTTCGGAAACTCCTATTATGGTGCCTCAGAACGGATAATGCATCGGAGTTAAGACTCAAGGTGTTTATTGCTTGTTGGCGAAGTGTTACCCCTAACTACCATCACTTACCTTTTGAAAAATCAGAACCTACAACAAAGCAGGTTATGGTGGTGTAAGGTAACCAGGCAAGGCTTTGTCTTTACGAGACTCGGCTGTTGAGGAGACGTGAGGGTCCCAAAGGCTCTTTTAGAGAAGCCTTACATTCAAACGCTTCGGGTGGCACACAAGACCCTTTTGCCCACCAAATTCACCGTCTGCCCCAAACCCGGAACACCAACCCAATCGCCCAAAACCTCAGACATACACATCCTAACCAAAATTTCAACCCTGAGATTCCAAACTCTTAGTATAGAGTTCGTCTAGATGCCCTTGAGGAAGCCTTGAAACGAAGCCGTAGAGCCCTCAACCCTGTAAACCTCTAAGCCCAAAGCCCTCAAACCCTAAACCACAAAACCTTAAACCCCTAGACCCTAAACCCTTATCCCCGAATCTCTAAACCCTAAGCCCTAAATCTCTAGACCATAAACCCTAGACCCTAAAACCCCGAAACCCCTAGACCCCAAATCTCTACCATGCCCAGTAGTACCCTTATTCCCTTTTTGTAGTCCTAGGTTCCTTATAAAGCTACCCAATACCAAAAAGAGAGGCCTTTTTATTCTTAGGTTACTGGGTATCCTAGAATAGGGGACCCTAATATAGCACCCTAAATAGTAGGATCCCCATTATAAGGACCCCACAATGAGGTACCCCTAATTTTCGGAAACTCCCAAATCGACGACGGCCAGGCACTTGCGGCCTTGTGGGCGGCCGCCGTCGAAGAGGCTGCTCTGGGCTTGCGGCTTTGGGGTTTTCGGGGTTAGGGCTTTAGGGGTTTTCGGGGTTTAGGGCTTTAGGGCTTCAGGGTTTTAGGGTTTTAGGGGTTTAGGGCTTAAGGGTTTTAGGGTTTAGGGCTTGAGGGTTTTAGGGTTTTACGGCTTTAGGGCTTTAGGGTTTTAGGGGTTTAGGGCTTTAGGGCTTTACGGTTTTAGGGTTTAGGGTTTTCGGGGTTTAGGGCTTTAGGGTTTTAGGGTTTTAGGGCTTTCGGGCTTTAGGATTTAGGGCTTTGGGGCTTAAGGGTTTTTAGGGTTTAGCGCTTTAGGGTTTAGTTTTTTTTGGGGTTTAGGGTTTGCGGGGCTTGTAGGGTTTAGGGTTTAGTAAGGGCATTACATGAGTTCCTTGTGCTCCATAAGGCTACCATCCGGGCGGTCTAGGAGAGTTTCGAGTTTTGGGGGTTCAGTTTAGGTTTCAGGGTTCAGGTTTCAGGGTTTAGGGTTTAGGTTTCAGGGTTTAGGGTTCAGGGTTTGAAGGGGTCAGACTTTGTGGGGCTTCGGGCTGTGGGAGGGCTCAGTGACAGGACTCTGAGTCTTGCGGCTTTCAGATTTTGGGTCTCCAGGTAAGCCTTTTTTGGGTTTGAGACGGCAGGTAAGAGTCTCTAAGACCTCCATCAACCGAAGGACCTCCGAACCCCATTTCATGATTCAGGGATCTGCACTGTCAGTACTACGATAGTCTCAAAAAAGCACTATACTTCGATTATTCAGCCTCTGTTCTTGAAGAGCTAGAGGAACCCCTGAAGAGGCACGATGAAAAGCACTTACATATAAAGAAGCCCTAGATCACGCCCAGACTCCCCTATCCTTTGGCCTAGCTACTGTCATTTCAGGCCGGGAAACCTGCACATGCTAGGTGGGCCTCAAAAGGATCTATAGGGTTTAAACTTATGGCTCAGGGTCTATAGGGTGGTATCGGATTGTGACTGCCTTCTACAAAGACGGAAGGACTCCTCATTCGGGCTTCCGTCACCTACCTTCATCCCACCGCTACCCATAGGCCCCGAAGTAGTTCCTTTTCGGGAGTACCCTATAGGATTCTAGATATGAGCCCCAAGAAGGAACTACTTTGGGGCCTTGGGGCAGTTCCCTTTGAAGGTGGGCCTCTGTTCGGATGGCCGGGCTGCAGCGGGATATCGGTTGAACTACACGCAGCCTCGCACTCGGCCGGGGTGAGTGTTCAGCGGAATAGTGGGTACGGGCTGACGGCCGTGGACTAAGCCTTAAGGCCTTAAGGTTCTAACTACACAGGTTTATAGCGGAGTTTGGGGCTTTAGCCTCCAAGGCACTGAACCTAAAGCCTTTAGCATAGCTCTGGGGTTCAGTGGCTTCGGGTGTCCAAGGTTGAGTTTTCGAATTCCCCTACGGCCCTAGAAAGATGTTTCTAGGCAGTCCCTATCTCCACACGTGTTAGCCTATACTGCAACCTTCCTTCTTGGACGGACTACGGACAGTGCCTTCAACCTTCAATCGTGTATGTTCAGGCGCCTTAAACGGGGCTCCTAGCGTCGGGGTGGTTTGGAGGAGAGGTTTGCAGACCTCGGGGCTTTGGCTTTGGCTGTTAAATCAAACGCCACCGTTATTGAGACAGCCATCTGCAGCTTCGGGCCCCTTGGTTGCTGCCTATAGTCTCCATTGTAGTTCCTTTTTTTGGTTATCCAATTTTATGGTTAGGGCCCTATAATAGAGCTTTTGGTTAACTAAAAAAAGGAACTACAATGGAGACTATAGGTGCAGGTGCAAAGTAATCGACTGATGATACTTGCACCTCTAGACGAACCACCAATCCAGTCTAGGACTTACCTACAGTGTCCGTTGTAGTTCCCGTTTGTGGTGTAAGCAGCTCTTAGCGAGGATCCTAGAAAGTAACCAAAACAGGACCTACTATGAACACTAGAACCTTTTCAAGAAGCCTCCGAAATTTTGGATCGTAAGTCTCGAACAGATAACAGTGCGGAGGAACCCACATCTGTACATATTTGTATGTAAGCTTTCACTGGTTTAGGGCTTATAGGCTTATAGGGTTACGGTATACACGTGATATGCGGAAGCCTTTACGGGGATCGCAAACCTCCTAATCTTCAACATCGAAACCCCACACACTTCCGTGACCCACATACCTGTTCTGCAGAGGTTCTCCCAGGCGTTCTTCAAAAGCATGCCAGGCTCATCGCATGCCTTTAACATAGGGGCCTAAATATTTGCCTATGCTACTTGGGGGGGGGAGTTCCTTATTATAGTGTAATATTCCCCAAAACCCTATTCTAATTATTAAGGCCCCCATATTACCCCGCTCTACGTGAAAATGGGATGGTGGCCCCCTATCCCCCCCAAAAGGGTCCTTCTGGTTGGGGGTTTGGGGGGACGGAGCCTCTTGAGCTTCAAGCTGGAGCCTCTGAAACTCCGGGGCTTCTGTGGCGGCCTTGTCCTTGTTCATGGTTCCCCCAAAAGACTAAGGTTCCCTTTAAGGGCTCCTTTAAGGGGGACTCTATAAGGGTTACTACAAGGGTACTTTAATGTAATGGTTCCCCCAAAAGAATGAACAGACCGGCTAGTGGCTAGTAGACCTTCTTAAATAATTCCTACTAAGGGATATAGGTATAGGGCTCTGTCTATTGCTTCTAAAAGCACAAGGGTGTTCAGTGGCGGGCCTGGGATTGGGGCGTTTAGGGGTTTAAGGCTTTGGGGGTTCAGGGTTGAAGGGTTTAGGGTTTATAAAGGTTTAGGCGTTGAGGGTTTAGGGCTTTAGGGGTTTTAGGGCTGAAGGTTTAGGGTTTAACGTTTGGGGTTTATCGGGGTTTGGGGGTTTCGAGTTTATTTCAGAAAAGTAGGGCTACGAGCAAGTTCAGATCCGGGGGTGGGCTCTTTGGTGGGATCGAGGGCTCACTGTGTCATAGGGATCCTTAGGGGTGTAGGGGGAGGGGGGGTAGGGGGCCTTAAGGCCCATAATAAGGACGAGTAAGGCCTATTTAAGGAAATATAGTCCCCTACACCCCTCCCCCCCTACACCCCTAAGGATCCCTATGACTGTGGTCTTGATTTCTCAGATTGCTTGTAGAGTAGGTAGCCGTTGAACTTATTTACTATATTAAGGTTAACCGTCGGTTCCCCTATGATACTGGACCAGTAGGGTAGGTCATGAAAGAGCTTCTTACCATTCACTAGATGAGTAGACCTGTGCGCCGACCTTGAGCAATATACACCCCGAATCATCGAGCCCGAAATCATTTCGAACTACCGGGCCCCCTAAACCTTAAACTCTAAACTCCAGACTGCAAGCGCTAAGCCCTAACCCCAGACCAAAGCTGTGGGTGGGACGGCTTTAGGGGGTTGGGGACTGTTCTCCCCGCTACAAGATCTCTGGCAAGGGCTGTAGAGTTTCACCAAAAGAAGCCTTTAAGGTTTATGATTTCTGGTGGCTTTCATTCGGTCGCTTTAACTCTACGGCACCCTCCAAGAACCCTCACAAATCTCTGACAGAACACTTCCAGAACCTCTTAAATCCTACTGCCTTCATAGAAACCCCAAGCCCTAAGCTCAGATCCCTAGTTGAACCCTTGTAGTCTGAAGTCCTTACTGAACCCTAAACCCTAAACCCTAAATCCTAAACCCTAAACCCTAAACCCTAAACCCTAAATCCTAAACCCTAAATTACTGAACCCTACGCGAGGAGGCGGGTCCAGCCCGGCCACAGCAGCTTTTCGGAGCCCTCAGCCAGGGTCGGCGACTGCCCAGACGCTCACGGCCTCTTTCAAGGAGTGACCTAGAGACCTATAGGGTTTCGGGTTACGGGTTTTGGCGTTTGGGGCGAAGGGCTGGAGGGTTTGGGGTTCATTTAGGGTTTGTAGGCTCGGTTTAGGGTTTAGGGTTTAGGGTTTAGGGTTTAGGGTTT